CTGATTGATCTTCATTTCTTTGTCATCCATACTACTTTGTAAAAGCTTGATATGAAGAAACTCCATAGCCAATATATAGTAATTGTTTGCTGTGGAAGAAAACTATTTTCAACATTATCAGTGGATATCTTTACAGATCAAATTAAATGAAACATATTGTGTGTAATATCACATTTCACTGTGAAAAATGCAGGCGTGAATCAACAGGAAAGAGTTTTCCCTTAAGGATGCCATTTTGCTAAAGGCAAAACAACAACACAGATTCATTTAATCTAATGAATCAAGGAATTTTCAGAACACAAAACCTGTAGCAATACAGTATCAGTGTTAATAAATTAGAAGACATCCATACCATTTTGCAAACAGATTTAGGTATAATACAGTATGTTCTGTCTGTACACTGCTGGGTGGCATGCTGATGCAGTGGTTAGAGGAGCTGTTCTGGAGAGCAAAGGATAAAAAGTTTCAATAAAGGGATGTACAGTACATATATTATACATATACTATATATATTCCAGAGTTGGAAAATAAAAAATCACAATGGTTAATAAAATAATACTCATACAAAAAAACTGTATCTGAAGTATGATTATAGTTTTTGGTCTAACTCACTTCCCTTTAAAGCCAAAGTTAGCATTGTCATTTCCTAATTAAATAAAGGACATTCAATGACAAAAAGTATCAAGTGTTCTATGAAGTCAAACATGTGCTATAGGAAGCATATGGCTTTTCACGCATAAAATGTACTCTTCCATTGATTCATCCATTTTCTAACCGCTTGGTTAGACAACCAAAGGCTAGGACCAGACCTGGCCTGCTGTCTCTGTGTAGTTTCTCCTTGAGTTCCAATGGATTTCTTCTGGGTGCTCCAGTTTCCTCCTACAGTATTAAAGATATACTTGTAGGTTAATTGGCTTCTGGGTAAATCCATCCTGGTGTGATGGAGAGTGTGCCCTGTCTTGGTCTGGTGTCCTGTCCAGGGTGTACACCTCCTTGTGCATGTTGCTTGGCAGGATGGGCTCAAGATCTCCCGTGGTCCTATATTGGAAAAAGCATTCAGCAAATGGATGTTTGTATAGTGCTGTACAAAAGCCCAAGACAATTAGGAGTTAACATTGCTGTATCAGCAAACTTAAACCCCAAGTACTTTGGATGAGAGGAGACCAAGCTTGTCATTTAACAATCTGTAACTCACTTTGATGACAATGTTCAAAAACTTGATTCCACTAAGGGTGGAACATCGGTGTGGCACTTGGGCAGTGGGTTCGATTGAGCTGTGGATTCAATTCTGGCATTGTCCAACTTTTGTGTGGATTTTGTGTGCTCACCCTATGGCACTTAGGGTTTCCTCCCAAAGTTCAACGACATGGCATCAAGATGACTTGGCATCTCCATATTGTCCCTTGTAGGTGTTTTCACTCTGATGAACTGGCATCCCATCTAGTGTTCAGTACTGTATATCATTCCCATTCTCTGCTGGGTTAGTCCTCATCTCACTGTGACCCTGCATTGGACTAAGCAGTTATTGAAGACGAATGGATGACAACTCAAGGTGATACAAACATGAGCAACTAATATAAAGTATTGTAGTAAATAACCTTTTGCATTTATTTATAAAATGTAATCTGATTGACTTATTGTCAGGTGGTCCTCATTACTCACATCATTTGAAGTATGACCATAGTTGATAGATTTTAGTCTCAGTTTTCTATGAAGCCAAAGTCGCATTGTAACATTTCTAATTCAATGAAGAATATTCAATGGTAATAAATATCAATTGTTTTATTTAACCAAACATGTCCTATATAAACCATACTGCTTTGTATGCAAAAAACTGACTCTTCCATCCATTCATCCATCCATTTTCTAATGCTTCTTCCAATTCAGTGTAGCAGGGTCACAGTTAAGTAATGGGCTCAAACCAGTCCATCACAGGGCACACACAGACACAGACACACACACTCATACGAGGCACAGTTTTAACAGAGGTCAATGAACCAACCAGTATGTCTTTGGACTATGGGAGGAAACCAGAACACCTGGTGAAAAGTCATGTAATCATGGGGAGAACATACAAACTCCACACAGATAGCACCCCAGGTCAGGAATTGAACCAAGGGCTATGAGGCAGTGATGCTAATTACTGTACCACCATGCCACCGCCCAAAAAATCTACACTTAACAAAGAAAATGTAAAAAAAACATATTCTAAAACAATGAATTCTATGTACATTAATAAAGAGTACAATTGGGGAAAATGGTGCAATGAACCTATTACAGCAGAAAACTAGTCAGCGAGATGATTTTTTCCTTGTATCATTTGCAAGGATGAAAAGAAACCCTCCCTAAAGACCATGTCATTATACATTGATTTATTCTGTTCTTTTTAAGGAGCTGGCTCAGGAGACGTTGAAAAGTAAGCTGGATTTGTAGGAATAGACATCAAAAACGTGCAGCCTAAACTTCAACTCTGCAAAGTTAGCTTGCCTGTCTAAAACAACAGACACACTGCCAGGCTTGTATCCAGCCAGGGGTTGGATTGGAAAAGGAAGCCAGCATTATCTGTGTCCTTAACTCTATAATAAAAGTTGACTGTACAGGGGAAGGGATGTTTGTTTCTGAGATTTATTGCAGCCAGCAGAGAAAAAGGAGCCAAGTGGAAGCAGTGATTTGTAGAAACAAGCCAAAGCACTGAAGTTATTCAGTTCTTCCCAGAATTCCTGCTATGCCATTTCCATAATGAAGTGTCAGTCTTCCTCTTGTCCCTTCCCCTCACCCCACCCATGTGCAAATGTATTATTACCATTAGGTGTTTCAGAATAACAGATTTCAGTTACAGGACTTTGAAGCATGCAGATTCTATGCTTAACTGCGTACAACACTATCAAGGAAAATAATTCCACTAGTCAAGGTCTGACTAAAACTGAAATCATATCAAATTTCTCCTGGGTTTTGACAACCTTAGAATAGAGAGTTCACTTGTTTACAGCCTTATTAAGGTCACCTAAAACCTTATTCGGGAAGAAGAAGAGTAGTTTTTTTTTAATTAACTGCTGTGCATGTGCTGGAAAGCCTTTTGACATGCCAGTAGTTGTGTACTGTATGAAACAAAAGTATTTTTTAAAAGCATTCAGACAAATGCTTATTTGGCTCTTGATTGTGTACACACAATCTGACCAAAGCAAAAAAAAAAGAAATGAATACACTTCCACTGCTTTTCTCTTTTTAGGAAAAGTGGCAGCAGACTGGCCCGTTTTGAAGTGCGTTTTCCTTTAATACTTCCCAGTGCTAGCTGTTCCCCTGTCTGTCCTCTCTCTGGCTCTGAAGTAAATCCTTCTGGGTCCCAATTAAGACTCAAAGCTGCTGTTCTCTGTATGATAACAACATGAATCGCTGACAACATGCTACCTGTCAACAAGCAAATCAACACCAGCCATCTGTTCCCTCACAAATTGTCTTCATTACACTCAACTCCACAATAACGCTGCTTTTTATTCCCTCTACCTTTTTTTTAAAAAGAAAATCCTTTAATTACCTGGTAATCTCATTCAAATGAAACAGCTCTATTTTAACACAGCCCTTCCACTGTTAGTTTTGTTCATGCTTACAGGGGGGAGCAAAATTAAAGAGAAATGATTTTGATAAAAAAAAATAACAAAACACACCGATTCCCTGATTGTTAAGACAACAGCTAATTAAAATCCAGGCTCCCTTTGTAGGTAACCACGTTCGAACCCCACACCCCTGATCTCCTAATGGCTTGCGCAGTAGGAACAAATTATCCAGAAGAGCAGATAATAGATTTTCTTTTCTAATTAAAACTGCATGTTTTTCCCCCCTTGGTTTATTAATGAGAGAATGCACTGCTTTACAAAAAAAGAAAAATGAAAGATCTTTTTAAGTGATTGTAGCTCTACCTTGAGGAGCTGCGAGGAGCAGAATCTCCCTTTAAGTTCAGGCTTGTTAAGAAAGGAAGAGAAAGAGATTTATCTAGAGCTTCAATTTTTTTTTCTTAGGCAAAGTTATGTCAAATTGCACCTCGATTTATTTTTTATTCTCTTGAATGCAGTTAATAATATTTAAGCATAAAAAGTTTCAATGAGATGACTTTCCAGGATAGTTTACAAAATCACTGAGAACTCCAAGTGGAAGGTGCAACATTTTTGTACTGGTGCACAGCTGTACAGTGCTTTTTCCATTTGAGAAAACGCTGTATGCCATAACATGACTCCGGCCTTTTTGTCTGTATTTATGTGACGCGGTAAAATATGCACCAGTATGTACAGTATGTATCCCTTTGGGATTTACTTTTGCTAGGCTTTGTTAAAGAGGAATCCTAATTACACTTCAATTCATGCCTTGTCATTTAGCTGTGCTACGTATTACTGACGTAACCCAAGTCCTGCAGAATATTTCTGCAGTATTAAAAACCCCTTGCTCAGCATATTTAAAATGCCGTTTTTCAAATATGTTAGAATTTTCAGAGAAAACCAAATAAACATCCATACTTTTCTTTCTATTTGATGGTATGAGGATATGTACTGTATATCATCAGTTGTGCAAGCTTGAAATGAAGCACGGCATACTGTGGAGGAAACCCCTACTGTATGTACAATAGGTTTGAACCTTAATTAGTTGGTGAACAGTGTATACTGTACAGTAAACAGCTACAGCATTTGCAATGTTTTAGTTATAATTTAGGACATCTTTACTCCCTTTTAAAAATTAACAGGTACAATTTAAACTATGACACTTCGTCACATTAGCCACGTCACATTAGCCACATTAAAAACTACTGGTGAGTTTTTTTTATTTATTTCCACCCAGGCTGTAAAACCTGTTGCCATGGAGGCAAAGGCTGCTTTGACTTAAAGGGTTTTTTGCCACACTGTCCAAAACTAAAGCCCCATTATTGTCACACCCTCTACTGCTAGAATTTTTCCTGCTCCTACTCTGTCCTGTTCCCTCTGTGCTTTGCTTGTCCTTCTGGTGTGTCTTTGTGTGGGACTATATATTTCCGGATCACCCTTTCCTCCTCACTCAGCATTGAGGGTTCAGCTGTCTTGAGACCTGCCTAGCACCAGGTCGTAGCCTGTACCTTCAGGTACGTTAAAGGAAAGGAGTATTTGGGAATTTCTTCAATCAAATTTTGAACAATTCCCAATTAAAAGCTGAAGCTGTTGCACTTGCAATATAAATGGCTACAAGCAAAACTGTTATTGCATTTGTAAGTTCAACCTTTAAATTGCAAATGAATACCCAAGCCAAGTAGATAAGAGATTCAAAACCAAAACAAAATTCAGTTTATTATACTACCTTTTCGTTCAGCAAGTGGATCCCCTCCTGGATTGCACTCTGAATCCAACCTCGGTGGCACAACATCACACTTCCATGACACTGTGCCATGTGACCAACACCTGCAGTGGTCCATTTTCCCTTTAGCCCGATAGCTAGCCTAGTCCATCTCTATAAAAACCCTTATCTACAAAGCCCTAATTTTCCAGATGATCCCTTTTGGCCAGTCGGCTCCTCAGTAACAAATACCAGTGTCCCTGAAACAGAAGCAGTCAGTTTGATTTTGTTTTTTTCACTCCTGGAGTCCAGAGACAATTGACACATATGTGTATAGGAACAAGTAATAGGTTTATTCCATGCTAAAAAAAAAGAAGAAAGAGAACACAGTGTGTTCTCTTAAGTGTTCTCTTTCTTCTTTTTTTGCAGCATGGAATAAACCTATTACTTGTTCCTTTGCAGCCTACGCATGTTGACGCAGCTACCCACCTGAACTACATATGTTTTTAGTCTAATCTCTGATGAGCCTCTTGATTATACTCAGAGGTGTGGTTAGTTCAACAGAGAACGTATCCTGGCAGCTTCTCTCCCTCTCATGGAATCACGTTCACTTGGAATACTCTATGCTCATTTAGCCCAATTGTGTCAAACTGTGCATCAATTTCAGTTACTAAACAACCATCTTGGCTCAAAGCCACACCATGTCCTTGGTTTGAGCCAAAATGGTGGCTTCACAGGGGTGCCACCTCTCATTTCATCACAAACCACTACTTGTGTTTACTGTACTGTCATCACCACTCATCATATTGTAGGAATGTCATTGTTTGGCTTTCAGACAGTACAGTGCAATGTTAAACTAGATAGTATAATAACCAGACTAAAAGAATATTTATGAAGCTTTGGTTGATTGAAAGAAAATTGCAGACACACATAGCCAATTGTGATTTATTGCAAATCTTGTTGCAATCCATCCATCCATTTTCTAACTGCTTTATGCAATACAGGATCACATGGGAGCCTGAGCCTATCCTGGCAAGCAATGGGAGCAAAGCAGGATAAACCCTGGGCATGTTATGATGGAGGGATGAACCCTCCATTGGTACCCTCTTTTCTGACCACCCCATCATCTCATATCGCCAACCACCTAATCAGCTTATCCTTCTTGTTCACAGCTCCCTTGACCACCCTCAGCAACCATCCACACCAGGCACTTTCCCTTGCAACAGAGCTCACTGTATCACCTGCAAGTACATATCTAACACCACACTCATTCAAGGCCCCTCAGGAAAATTCCGGATCACTCAGATGACATCTTGTACCTCCAGCAAACCTTAGTTACTGCATCTCTTGCTGAAAATGCCCAGCTATCTACATTGGGGAAACAGGAAGGAGACGCGGAGACCACTTCAGAGAACATGTTAGGGCTGTGAAGATCAAAGGTTTCTCTAAGCCCATAGTTTTTCATTTCACCTCTAAGGGCCATGATCACACTGATCTCTCTGTCTGCATTCTCAAAGAAGGGTTTCGTAACTCCTATAGCAGAAAGACATCAAAAAGCAAAATTATCCTGAAACTTGGTTCACACCTTCCCCCTTCTCTCAATGATAGATTTGTTTTCTTCTAATCCCCTCTATTCATTTGCCAGTTTTGACTTCACACATCTCTTCACCTTTGGACCACCTGGGTGCCCACTCTGCCTCCCACCTGCTCCCACATCCTCCACACTCCCTGCTTTTGTTCTCCTGTGCCCTATAACCTCTACTGATTTCCCTGTCTTTCTCACATCCGAAGAAGTCTCCACAGCGGAAATGTTGTGTTTCCTTTCTTATCTTTTCAGCATGGAATAAACCTTTACTTGTTCCTTTACACCCTGGACAGGATGACTGTCCTTTGCAGGGCACACACAGACACAGACATGCTCCCACTCATACTAGGTCCAATTTTCTTAGATGTCAATTAACCTACCAGTATGTCTATGGACTGCCATCTTCTGAAGACCGCCCTGAAGCTGAGATAGAAAGATATTAATAATTCTCATTCTCGTTAAGTACTTTGAAATTTAAAGGCATTTCAACTGACACCTCCTGCAGAGGAACCTACAGGATATTAAAAATATTGCAGTTCTGGAAAGGAATGTGAGAATTGATTTTCAATGTAGGCTTTTGAAAAAGGGTATGTTTAAATAGCTTTAACTTTTTAAAATGTACCATGGTACCACAGAAAACTAGTTCACAAGCATAATCTCAGAAACCATATGTTGGACTTCACTGATATCTGCAGATTAAATAACCACTATGCTAGAGTGTACTGAGTTGTACCTGAGTAGTGTGCAAATAATTCTACGTTTGTAGAAAAACAAACTGCACATACTGATAAAGTTTTTATACCACAAGTGGCTAGGTTTTTTCAAAGTTTCTTCAAGTCTATACAACTGTTAGTGGGAAGCTTATTCAGATGTAAGTTTTGCCATACAATGATCTGAATCTGTACTGAATGAATTTAAGGTGTTGACACTAAATTTCATTAATGCACAGTGCCCTCATATCACACAACCTACATTTACAAAAGCTTTTCCAGTGTTGCAGTCTGTGCTGTATGGGCATAGGATGACCACATTTTCTGAAATCAGTTACAGTACAGTATGTGCTTCCTAAATCATGACATAATCCAGCATTACTGAAATTACAGTATGTTCTGCACATAACCATATGTTGCATGATGACCTGAGATGAGCCTCCATACATACACACAATAATGAGGCGTCCAAAAATAATTCAAGGTTTTTAGCAGTGTTAAAGCAGATAAAGTGGATCAACATTTCTTCATGGATGAAATGTAGCCAAATTCTTTCTATCCATTGTTTACCTTACTGAGCTATTCTCCTAAACCTCCTGAGCACAATTCAAAGAAGAATAAATTTAATTTATATAGCCATTTTTATCCAATAACCTCCAGCTGGTTGACTTTGAAGATGCTCATAATAGGTCTGGCCATCCGTCATACGTGTATGCAATTGCATATATCAGACACCTCATTACGTAAAGCTGACTTAGTAATAATTGAATTGGTTAAAAAAAGATGATGGTACTCAGAAAACTGCTGGATGTCAATGTTGGGGGAAAGAGGGGAGAGGGGCTTAATATTCTTTCTGTGTCCCTTGTGTGATCCTGCCATGTAGTGATTTGTATTGTGATAAGATAGATGTCAAGGTCCGTCGCAGTGTTTTAGAAAATGAGATCTAATTACCAAAAGTCACCCTCTCGCCTTCTCAGGAACTACTACCACCCTGTCCTCCAGGGGCAAGGAAATGCAGGCACCTTTCAGAGTATTTTAAGGTGGTCTTGATTAATGAACCTGCTTTTCACCTTCCCCATCGTCGTTGGCTTCAAGCTAATCTTACTGTCAGCAAGGAAGCTGACAAGGCACTGTTGTGAATGAGCTTAACAAAAGCCTGCATGTGCCCATAATTTAAGTATCAGGAAAAGAGCTTTCATATGAGGCTAGTAAGACTCCACTGATGACAGCCATTGGTCTTTCCTGTGCCACAGTTCCTAAATCTATAACTGCAATCCTTATGCACGAGTTTGTGCCTGGTCTCTAAGTGTGCTGTGTAGAAAGTACTGCTTACTCTTTCCAAAGCACATTGGTTTCCACTGGGGAGACAGCGCTTAAATGATCACACTCTTTCACAGCTTCCCTGTGATCAGATAATACCCCATCTGCTTCTAAAACAAGGCAGAAAATGTCATAGCCACAGAGCTCCCAATTCGATCTATGACGAAGCACACACAGCATGCCATCGTGTCTCTTGGGAGTCTTATTAAAACAGATGTCAAAATAGTTGAGATCGGGACAAAGACGTTATTTGGTATTGCGTCAATTTTGGCAAACTGTGTCATCAGTATTATACTGTTCTGTGAAGTAATGGGAGTGAAACATCAGATCTGATGTTCTAGGTACACTAAGCTCCTTGCGTAAAAGAAAACTGGAACTGCCTACAGGTGCATTGAATTCGTGGAGGTGCTGTTCCCAGAGACAGGTAGAAACATATAGAAGCAGTGCACACAAAATGCTGCGAAAAAACAGGTGAGTGCCTTGCTTAGTTCACCTAATGTCTACACTTTTAAAGTCTCAATAGACTTCACCATTATACAAAAAGAAACCTTTATGTAACTTTTTTCACATGCCAGACACTAACTTTAATTACTAACTATAGTTGAATAATGTGGGGAAGTGATAGAGCTTTTCTTCCCCATATTAAAGAGCCTGGTCTACAGTACCCTCAACTGCAGCATAAAAAACATTCCCCTACCACCCAGCTCACACATTTTTAAACACTGCTGTGACAAGCTGAAACCACAGAGACTTACCTTGGAAAGTCAGATCATCAATACTAACCACTTTTTCACAGCTGCAGAGCATTAGTAATTGCTTTGGATTGGTACAATGGCCCATTTAAAGTGGACATGTGTGCATTTGCCTATAATCACATATCTGAAGAAGGGTAAGTCTCTCATTAATACTAATAAAATCTTGTTTTGCTTCATTGGTAACATCTTAATTTTTGTCATCTTCTCCATGCTCTAGTTCGGGAGCTTCCAGTCCTGGTCCTAGTTGCTCACACTCCTGCTGGGTCTTACTCCAGCTGATCTTAATTACTTATTGAAGCCTTTAGAGTTGAGCTAACAAGTTGCTGAACAAGTTTTTTTTTTCTTAACAGTTTAGGATTTGAAATTACATATGAAATACATTAGTTAAAAGGTAACCTCCAACAAGTTAAAAAGCTGACAACACCTGAACAGTTAATAATTATTACATCAATTAACGGTTCAATTGTGTAAATGAGAGCTTAAGTGGAACAAAAATAAGGCCAGGATTGTGAATCCCTTCTCTATTTCAACTTATTTTTCACCTCTAGTCATGAAGCATCAGGTTTTCCTTTCAATACTGGCCTTAATGACCTAAATCAACTCTTATTGGCTTAATTGGACCTATTTATCCACATCTCCCAGATCTTCAGAAGAAAAATTTGACAACCATGTGTGTTGTAATCCAGACTACATTAAACTGTCACCAGTAATCCTGGTTCTGGAGGACAGGCATGTGTGAAGGTCTCCTGGCTCTTTAAAAAGCAGCACCTACAAGCACCTATAGGGCTGAGAGAAGATGTTAAACTGATCCAATTAAGCCAATAAGGATCTGAATGAAGTCATTAACAGATCAGTTTCAAATGAAATCCTTACAGACACATTAGTCCTCAAGGACCAGGATGAAACCGCCCTGATCCAGTCCTCTAACATCAGAATCCTGTAGATATTCTATCCATCTATAGATTCTATCCATCTATTTTTAAACAACTTGTTCCAGAGCAACAGGCACAAAGCAGGGTACGCCCTGAACCGGACACTCGTCCATCACAGGGCACACACTCACACTTAGGGACAGTTTTCCAAGAAGCCCATTTGCCTACAAGTATGTTTTTGGACTGTGTGAGAAAACTGGAGCACTGGAGCACCCAGAGGATACTGACTCGAACACGAGGAGAATGTACAAACTCCACGCAGATAGCACTCCAGATCCAGATTTAACCCTGGGCCCCAGCAATGCAATGCTGACCACTGCACCACCATACCACCCCTAGGCGTTCTAGCTGCCTTTAAAAAATCAACAGCTGAAGACCACTCAAAAGCATAGATTTGGTCTAACTGTTACGATCCCTGCCTCTCGGCAACGGAGGAGGCAGAAGTAGGTGTAGCCCCTATCCATCAGTTCACCTATCAGTTTTCCCATTCACCACCACACCCCCGTCTCATCCTACTTAAACACCTGTCCTTCCCTACCTCGTTGCTCAGTATTGGTTTTCCCTATCGAGCTTCCTGGTTGCGCTTCTTCTACTCTGTGTTTGTCTTGGATTTCGGCTTACGGTTTTTCCCTTTGGACTTCGGCTTTTCGGATCTCGGCTTGGATTGGTACTTTCGCTCTGTCTTGGATAACTGGCTACCTCTGGATTCTCGGATTGCTCTACGGACTACGACTTCGGATCACACTTCGGCTTCGGTACACGTTCCCTTTCGGATATCTTGCTCCCCCTGGACTCTCGGCTCGTTCCTACGATTACGGTTTACTTTCGGTTTACGACTTGGCTTTGTTCGCTCCTGCAAGTGGGTTCACTCACTAGTTCGGTCCCTATTACCGAACTCGTAACACTAACACTACTGGTTTAGACATTTAAAATTAAACATTTGGTTATTTCATTATCCCACTGTGACAGAGAGTACCCAAGTAGTTGGTTGAGTGGGCTTTTGCTTGGTAGTCTTATTGTCCTGCATAGAGCAATGCCTTCTATGACATCATTCACCTGATTCTAACTGTTTTGTAACAGGCACAGTGTTGCTTGAAGCAAATCCTTAGGGTTGTAATCCCTGTGTCTGCCCAAATTTCCCCCTGACCTTTATCAATCATGGCCTCCTAATGATCCCCATCTTTGAATTGGCTTCATTATTTTGTTCTCCTCCCCATTGATAGCTAGTGCGTGGTGAGCATACTGGCGCATCATCCAGGTGGGTGCTGCACATTGGTGGTGGTAGAGGGGAGACCCCATTACCTGTAAAGCACTTCGAGTGGAGTGGAGTTATTAGGAGTAATATTTCTCAGCTTGGTTCAATGTGTTCCAAAGTTTATTTTGCATATCATCACTCAACTCTTGAAATCTCTGAATGAAACTGTTGCGTAAGTGCTGAGGTTTCAAAACCTCAGTCTCTCAGGCTCAACCCTGAACACTCACAAGTACAGTATGACAAATGTTTTATTCTGATATGCCAACAAATGACAAGTTATTTGTTGGCTACTGAGAACCCGGGTATGGGACGTCTCATACTCACTGTACACGTTAAATCCTGTTTAGCTCTTCCCTTTTGACTTTTGACTTTGTAGTCCAAAGGAACTGATCCTAGCACATCAGTAGTTTGTGCAGTTATACCTTGGTTTAAAACAGCAGACTCAAATACACCTCCAAGTATCTGTGAGGAATGATATAACAATGTATCACTAAACCAAGTAATAGTCACCTTGATACATTTAAGTTTTCATCATCTATTCTTCCAAAAGGACTGAGGAAGCAAAGTCAAACCTGTTATTTTTTATAATCAAGTAATTTTGTAATAATGAATATGAATGATAAGTACAGTATAATATACATTTTATTTTGAGTGATTGCTTGCATGCATTTGATCATATTAAAGCAAAACATACTTTGTGTTCAACCCAGTTATTTCAAGTGACCATATGTATTCAAAATATTTCTATAAACGTTAAAATGCAGTAATTCTGCAGGTGATATCACCAGTTACATCATTACTGAAGAAGAGTGAGCCAGTTTCAAAAGCCCAGGCCCTGACCTTACCTCCACCATGCTTCAGAATTTGCTCAGAAGAAATTAATCACAGCAATTTGAAATTTGGGGGAACAATATGGACAACTGAGATCAAGATAGATCAATAAAAAAAGTCAACCAATCTTTTATTTGCTATAGCTCTGCATTTTGCCACAGAGTGCTTTCCAGATTTCTATAAGTGTTAACAATATAACAAGTTGTCTGTATGGGTATGGATGAGAGGAAGCCAAACTCTACAATAGAGAAACAAAGAAAATAAACCCCTGGATCCCAGGCCAAGGCCTATCCGCCCCAACAATAGGTTTGTGGTACATTAAGCAAATTAGATCACTAACATGATCAATAAATCATAGCACTGATGGAAAGGTGGAAAGGTTGAAGTGTGTAGAAAGGAAGGCATTACAAATGCTCCAAAGAACACCACCTCATCTGTGAAGAAAGGTGGAGGTAAAGATATGGCTTTGGGCATGCACAAATACAAACTGTTTGGCTATAAGTCAGAAACAACAGTTTTGAGGTATTAGGGATAATAAGCATAAGGGTTTTCTTTTTCTGAAATTGAAATGGCAGACCTGACTAGGAGTCATTTTCTTACCAGTTTGTCAGAAGACCTACTAGAGGGACACATGTAGTGATCCAATGCTTTCAAACAATAAAGAAAAAGTGGGTAAAATAGTGGTGAGAGCATCCTTGCGGAGCTGTGATCATAACATACAGGTATACTTTGAAATATATCTTATACTGTACTTAAATTGTGAGGGAATTGTTACACCATGGAAAACCAGGGACTGAGGCGGACAGATTTCACAGACGTCTGCTCTTTATCGTGCATAACTCGTAACTGACACAGAATGGCAGAAACCTGCCAAGGCACCCCAGCGCTGTAAAGCGGTAACCCCCAAAACCCAAAGCACAACAGCATCGTAACCCCAAATTGTGTGACTCACAGAGGTTTCTCCTAAAAATAAATCATTCTCAAATTACAGGCTTGAGATATTCAAGAAAATGCATGTACATGGTTTAAGAACTGCTCAATCAATCAATTGATCAATCAATCAATCATTACTACCACTAATAATAATAATAGAAAACAGTACAGGTAAGGGATAAAAACTCAAATTGGGGTGATGTACAGTAAGTACCACAAGCACCCATTTTCCCTAGTTTATATCAATTCACAAAGAATGACAACGCCCCAAAATCAAAGCCTGGTGAATTATTGTGGAGTGAATATTTGGCTTAACACACTTGGCTGAGAGCCGACCTCCTGGCCGTAGGACGAGGAGGCCAGGACCCCCCCGCAAGGTAACCAAGGGGCAGCTGCAGAGGTGGAGTTGGGGTGGAGGTGAGATGCAAAAGTCACACACGAGGGAGAGAGATATCGCATTTGGTATTTATAGCATTCGGTAGAGTGTGACATCCTCAGGAGTTGTGGAATCACAGTGTGAGGATATAGGAGTGTCCTACGAACACAGATACAAATGCAGCCATATGGTACAAAACAAGTGCTGTTCATTTATAGTGCTGGCAAAAAAATCCAAAACCCAAAACAAAACCTAAGCTATTCTTTGAGCTTCTGGCCTACTAACTTCTTCACAGTCTCCCATTACAACAATAATAACATAATAAATGGGTAACTAAGCTGCTTACCAGGTTCACAAAGCAAACTAAAAAACTCAAGATCTCACATCACACAGACTTCACAATAACACACAAGATCCTTCAGGTTCCCATATGGTATCTCATTTCTCCTCCTCTGCTCTCTCCATCTTCTTACCTTCTTGGTTTTAAAGCATCACCTAATCAATTGTGTTTCTTTTAACTAGTCAGGTGACAGAGCAGCTGGGCATTCCCCATAGCTTTCTGAGGAATGTAGTTCTGACCAGAGCTGCCATCTTGCCTGAACCTTCCATCCATTGTGATATTGGTGATACAGAATGTCCAAAGACAGGTGAACAGCTACACTCTTGGGATCAAAGGGACATTACAGACTAAAATAACTAAATACTTCT